GAGAGAGAGAGAGAGAGAGAGAGAGAGAGAGAGAGAGAGAGAATCATATTCTTAGCTCTCGTTTCTTTTTCTTTCTTTTTCTTTTTTTTTTTGGTGGAACCATGGATTGAACTCATGCCCTTGTGCTTGCTAGGCAAGCACTTATTCTACTAACCCATCTCTCTGGCTGCCTCAAGTTTCAAAAGGGAGGTAGAGGTGTAAGACAGGAAACCTATGAAGAGGTGCAAATTCTTCCCAGAGAGAAGATGGAGCTTTGATGCGGTGTTCTCACCCAGTGAGAACGGCCATGGACCGTCTTACTCCTGTGACACGCTGGCCTGGGACAGCGCTCTGCCTAGGCTAGGTCTTCGAGGCCTCATTCTATGTTGTGTTTGTACGTCTAGTATGGGGCTGGACTTACCATTCTTTATGTTCTCTCCGTATTTGGTTAGTTTTATTAGTGGAGTTAGATTTGTTGAGAAGTTTGTAATTTGGGTTCTCTGTATACTGGGATACTTGGGAAGCATGAATTATAGGTGAACCTTAAGCTCACTGTGTTCATTTTTCTTTAGGTTTTCTCTCTGATTCTTAAAGGAGCTGCTGATCCAGGAAAAGTTAAGACCTGCTGAAATGAGGATAAAGAAGACGTCTCACAGTTAATAAACAACAGTGCCTGCGCTGTGCTGACTCCTTCATCTCTTGTCTTATTTATTTCTCATTCTCATCTTGGGAGGTCAGTGCTAGCAATATCATCAATTTAGGTGCAAAGTGATCAGCCTTGCGGGGTGTTCACAGTCCAGGTGGGAGTGCTGGGACTGGAGCCCAGGCGTATGCCTTAGGCCAATGTCCTGTGTCCCCTGTTCCAACTCCTCCAAGCACATGAAGACCCATGCTGGTGTTGTCATCTGAAATGGTCTATAACTTCATTAAATTGTATTTTTACTTTTAGTTTGGGCTAGTCTCCTCTCTCTCTCTCTCTCTCTCTCTCTCTCTCTCTATATATATATATATATATATATATATATTATTAATTAAAACAATCGTTATTTATTTGATACAGGGTCTCACTATGCAGCTTGGACTTGTAGTGATCTTCCTGTCTCAGCCTCCCCAGCACTGGGATCACAGGTGTGCACCACTGTGCCCAGTTTTGGTGGCTGGCATGGGCATGTCCACATTTCTGGGGCCTGCATGGCATATTGTACCAGGGATTGAGCCTGGGTCCCATACTGACCAGGCAGGTACTTAGACTGCTGAGCTATCTCCTAGCCCCCTCTTTGTATATTGTAGGATAGAAAATTCTTTCACTTTGTTATAAACTTAGGTGGTTCTCCCCCCCCCCCCGCTTTCTGTGAAGCTGTAGATCAAATCCAGCTCCCATATATTGGGCAAGAGCTCTATCACTGAGCTACATCCCCAGTATGTTTTCTCCTCCTCTTCTTTCTCCTCCTCCTCCTCCTCCTCCTCCTCCTCCTTTTAAAGATGAATTCAAAGTCTTAAAATTTTGGAATTTAATGAACAGAACTAAATGGCTTTTGTTCTCTGTATACGTATTTGTTTAAATTTATATATCCAAGTAACTAATTGAATAATTAATACCCTTGCTAATAGCCACTAGTATGAGATGCTCACTAAGTGCCTTACATAGTCTCATTTGACCCTCTCAATGTCCCTATGATATAAGGGCTACTGTTTCCCTGTCTTACACTTAAGGATAGTGAGGTCTGAACTTATGACGTAAGCTGCTCAATGTGATACAGCAACTAAATGGCAGAGGTGGGATTTGAACCCAAGTCTGGAGGAGGAACTATTGCCTTGGCCTGCCAAGCCCCTCGCCTCCTTACCTCAGTTGGTAGATCTACTCCAGTGCACGCCTCAGTGATGACAAATGGCCAACAGTGTTTGGGTGGCTGGAGAGAGCAAGTAGAGTTGCTTTGCAGACTTATAGGAGATGTGAGCAGAGCCCTGTCTGCCTTGGTGGCCTTGCTGGCCTCCGTGAGGGACCCAGCATGCAGGCTCTGGCTAGGGGAAGATCAGGAGCCCAGATTTATCATACCTCCCAGGGCAATGTGAGCTGCTGCCTAACCAATTCTCCTCCTGGAAAGAGGCAGGAGACTGCCACTTCCTCTCTGTGGATAGCTCCAACCACCACTAACCAAGGAAACGACTGGATTGGAGCAGCTCAGGAAATGCCCCTGGCACCTGGAACCTCACATAGCCCACGTCCAAATTGTAGCTTGCATGTGCCTCATCATATATGTGTAGCTGTGTAAGTGCTCTGATCTCAGCAGACCCTCTGAGCTCCTGGTGGGCTATGAAGAGCAGGTCCATTTGCTCGGTGGGGAAAGGTCCAGAAGAAGTGAGATGAATAGCTTCAGGTCACACCCAGCCAAGCCTTGAACTCAGGTCCACTGATTCCAAATCTCTTCCACTGGAGCCAGACAAGTGATTGCTAGAGGTCATTAGGAACTCCTGGCTGAGAGGGATAGGTCCAGTGGAGGGGCTGAGGGAAAGAGCAGGCAGACCCCGGTACAGACCCCAGCCTCCTTGCTCAGGAGCCTGTGTGAGGTTGATTTGAAATAATGCTTGTGCTGCTAACAAGGTGTTTTTTGGGTCTGTCAAACATGATTTCTTTTTCCCTAGGAATGGGTTCAAGCTCTTCTTTTCCTAAGACCCCTGATTCTCCACAGGGGCAAGAAGAGGCACACTCTCTTTTGGAGGATGTCCTCAACTCAGGGTCAGAACGGTAGCACAGAAGGATGTGAAAGGCGCTGAGCAGGGTGGCAGAAGACCCGGGTTCTGGTGCTGGCTGAGGCACAACTTAATCAGGCCATTTAGCTCAATCTCCCTATCTGCAGAAATGAGGAGATTGGCCCAAATAATTCTTAAAATCTGGGTCAGTTTATAAAACCAATGTGTCTGTGACATCATGCTATGTTCATGAGATTTTAGACACAGCCAAGGCACCTAATATGAAATTGGTGTAATTTGCTTCATGTGCATATTTCTGAAAGGAATGTGTGTGGCTTTCAGCAGTACTAGATTATTTATTTTTTATGCATTTAGTACAGGGTCTACAGGGTCTTGCTACACAGATTGGACTCATAGTGATCCTCCTGTTTTCAGCCTCCCAAGTGCTGGGATTATAGGTGTGTGCCACCATGCCCAGTTTCAATCGCCATCTCAGTGCACTCCGGGGGCGGGGCTGGCACAGCATGCTGGGGATTGAACCCCCATTCCTGGGTCTGCCTAAGCAGGTGCTTTAATCTGCTGAGCTATCTGGCCAGCCCTAGCAGTATTTTAAAGGCGGTCTGTGGGGGTCGGGGAGATAGCTCAGTAGAATAAGCGCTTCCCTGGCAAGCTCAAGGGCCTGAGTTCAATCCCCGGTTCTGCAAAAATAAAATAAAATAAAATAAAATAAAATAAAATAAAATAAAATAAAATATAAAATAAAGGCGGTCTGTGAAGTAGACTCTTTCATTTCCCAGGACTTTTTTTTTTTTTTTTTTTTTCATTTCTCTGGCAGAATTGTATAGTTCTATTTTTCATCTTGGGGGACATCAGTTATAAGAATGTTTTGAAGACGCAGCATGGTGATGCACACCTGTAATCCCAGCACTTGGAAGGCTGAGGCAGGAAGATTGCAGAGTTCAAGGCCAGCCTGGGCTACATGGAGAGCTCAAAGTCAGCCTGAGGTTCAGAGAGATTCTGCGTGAAAAAAGAAAGAAAGAAAGAGGAAAGAAAGAAAGAAAGAAATGAAGCTGATTCCATTAGGAAAACAAAGGTGAGGGCTGGCGAGATAGCTCAGTTGACTAAGCACTTGCTTAGGCAGTGCAGGGACTGGGTTTTGATCCCTGGCACCACATGCCATGCTGGCCTGCCCCTATGGGCACTGAGCCAGCCATGAGACTGGGCATGGTGGTGCACGCCTGTAGTCCTACCGCTGAGGATGGCTGAAAACAGGAGGATCATTACGAGTCCAAGCTGTGTAGTGAGACCCTGTACCAAATACACAAAATAAAATAATAATAAAAAGAAAACAAGGTGACACACAAAGACAGAGCTAAAAGACGGTAGCTACATGAGAGTCAAAGACCAACTAAACAGACAGTTTTAAGTCCCCAGATCTAGCCATGCCTGATATCCTGGTGCTTTTCAGCTGCTTGAGCAGGCTGTCCCCCGTTTAAGTGTCTTTTGTTTCAGTCCACTTTCAGAAAGAATGACTAATGCAGCGGTGTTATTAGGAGAGGTTTCTGCTGGTTGAAAAATTCTGAAGCTCAACTCAGCAAAGCAAAGTAAGGATGGAGGATGGGAATTCTTCCTGTTTTTCCCGAGTTTCAGAAGAAAAATGTTTGCTTTGCTCCTTCCCCTTTACCGTCTTCCCCAACCTGGGGCTTTTAGATGTGCAGGAGACTTTAGACTCAACTGCAGTGTTACATAGACAGGAAACAAAGATCCAGAGAAGGGATGTTACTGTCTTCTGGCTCGAGTGCACATGAGCATCGGGGCTGAGGCTGGAGCAGCGTCTCTTTTCTGCCCTCATGGTGGACCTTCCTCAGCGCTTCTCTCCCAGGCAGATTCACTGGCTAGCAGAAAGGCTTTCATACCCCTGTGTGTTTCTTACCTGGCAGCTCCTCCAGTCTGGATTTCTTTCCAGGGTCAATGGCACAGGCAAATAAAAGACAGGAGGGGAAGTGACCTAGTCTAGCATTGCCTGGGTCTTCTGTAGGGACAGGCCTACCTAGCATACGAGCCTGGAAGCTCCAGCTAGAAATGGGGTCCTAGGGATCAGTGCCCAGCCAGACATTGCCTAACGCTGGTCACAACAGGAAGAGGCAGAAGGGGGAGGATTTAGATGCTGCCAAGAATCCCAAGCAGGAAGCAGGATTTATGGGGCAAGTCCAGGGGGTCACTTTGAGCCACAGGGTCAGATTTATTTAGCTCTGGTGAACAGGAATGGCAAAGGCAGAGATAGGCCCCAAGAAACCTAACGTAATTATTGCGCACAGACCAGCGGGAGGGCCTGGCTGCAGCTTTATTACAAGACACCTTTAGGGCTAGGATCAGGGCAAAGCCATCCTGCCACCCCCCCCCCTTCACAAACTACACAAAGCCACACAGGAGAAAGATCTTTAATGTCTGACTTTGTTTCCCACCCCATCAAAGTGCCATCATGAATCAATGAACTAGGAGGGGCTCGAGAGGTACGGAGTCACGAGACGCACAAGGCCTCGGCCGCCAACTCCTGGGCGCGCACCTTCCACCGCGCACACACGCACACATGCAGACCCCATGGACACCGCACAGACACGCACACGTGTACCCGCAGATAAATACATGGAGAGAGGGACTCGATATATACACAAAGAGAGAGAGAGAGAGAGAGGGGCGGGAATCCCGGCTGGCTCAGGTCCCCAGGCTCTCGGTCGGCATGCTCGGCCCAGTTCTCTGCGCCGCACCTGGCACCCATGCCCCTGCCAGAAAAGCCGCTGCCCCTCTCCCGTCCCGCCCACCCCCACGGTGCCTGTCCCCCAAGGGGAGCCGCGGGACTAGAACTGCCCGGGCGCCAGGGGCATGTTGCTCTTGAAACCCGGCTGCCCGTTGGCCACGTCGGCCTCGCAGCCCGCGCCGCTGCGGGCGTCGGCGCCAGCCCCGGGACTCTCGGGCTCGGCCAGGAGCTTGAAGGTGAAGAGCTGGCCGGAGTCGCGACGGCGGCCGGGGGGCGCGGGCTCGGGCAGGCTCAGGAGCGCGCCCGGCGCCCTCCACTCGGGGAAGGCGCACAGCTCCACGGGCGGCGCCGCGCCGCGGCCCAGGTAGCCCGGGCTGGGCGAGGCGGAGGGCAGGGTCCGCTGGCTGCCGCTGAGGCAGCTGCCGCTGTCGTCCAGCGAGTCCTTGCGCGACTGCGAGCGCTCGAGCGAGCCGCCGCGCGTCCACGGCCGGTAGGTGTAGGCGCAGCCGCCCAGGCGGCGACGGCGGCGACGGCGACGGCGGCCGCGGCACTGGCACCCGAGGATGCGCACGAAGGCGCGCTTGAACTCCTTGCTGGAGCACGGGTAGATGATGGGGTTGAGGCAGCTGTTGAAGTAGCCCAGCCAGAAGACCACCTTGAACACGGCGTCGGGGGGCTTCAGGGTGGAGAACAGGGAGCCTGCAGGGGGGAGGACGGAGAGAAGAACAGTTGGTGAACGTTGGCCTTCCTCACGGTGCCCTCTGCGCCCCCTTCTCAGGCCAGCTTCCAGGGGGGCCTTTCCATTTCAAAAGGAAGGAATCCTAGTTCCTGGGAAGGCCCCCTCAGTAACTTTCCCTTTTTGAAACCTTTCGGGATAAACCTCGGCAGTTTTTAAGCTCCCCTAGGAAGCACTTTTCCTAGGGCACCACCCACCCCATTCCAGTCCAGTGTCCTGCCCGCACCTCCAGAGCACGCTGCTGGGGAGCCAGGCTCTGTGCTGGAAGCTTGATCTGTATTGCTGTGATTTGCACGAGTTGCCATGAAGTACGGGCTGATTTGTTTCCACTGCAAATAAGAGCTGTGCTAGAGACCTAAATGCACAAGGTAGATCTTACAAGGTATGTGTGTGTGTTGCTGGGAATCAAACCCAGGGCGTTGTGCATGCAAGGATAGAACTCCATCTACCACCAAACCACGTCCTCAGCTCTTTTCAAAGTAAAAGAAGACAACTTCAAGGAAAGCCTTTCTGACGTTCGCAGGGGTGGGTTGGGGGTGGGGGTGTGAAGAAAAACATCTTAGTCCTTTAAAAGGATAAACCATGAGGCTGGAATGGGAGAAGTTATTTACAGTATCCAAAATGGTCAAGGCTCTCACTGATGTTTAGAATATAAGGACCTCCCCAGATTGGCAAGAAAAAGAAAGCATTCCCAGTGGGCACGTGGACAAAGAAAAAGAACGATTTGCAAAATATGGAACCCAAAGGCCAGTGAACATAGGACAAGATGCTCAAAATATTAGGCAGTGAAATACATTTTAAATGAAAGCCACAGAGATAGGATTAGGTGGTCTAACATTAGGAAGCTGAATAGGCAAAACGGGATAGCCGTTGGGGGTCCAGGCCATGCAGGAATTCTAGGGAAGACTCTGATGTGGGTTGGTCCAAGTGAGTGTATGCACACCTCGTTTCCCTGCCTGTCTGCTTCAGGCCACAGAGCTCAAAGCATTTTCACACAGTTGGACAGGGGACACTTAGGAGGAAGCTCATGGCAGTGCTGTCAGTGGTGACGTGGAGTTGGAGGAAACCTGGGTCTCTCTCCCTCAGACACACAGGATGTGGCAGATACACCCAGGCAGACTGTGTGGCACTTTGAGGCTCAGCAAGGCATGTCCACAGAGCATCGTGGCAAGACCTCAAGTCCGTCATTCTTAGCTGGTGTGGTGAGGCACCCCTGTAATCCCAGCACTCAGGAGGCGGAGGCAGGAGGATCGCTGTGAGTTTGAGGCCAGCCTGGGTTGCACAGTGAGCTCAAGACCAGCCTGAATTGCATAGTGAGACCCTGCCTCAAAAAACAAAATATCCAAAAATCTAAAAAATACAAGGAAAAAAAAAATAAAGGCAAGCCACCATTTTTCATGAAAAAAGTAAGAAATAAAATGAAATTTGTGACAATACATTTAACTCTCCAAACAACTCCATGCAATATATATATATATATATATATATATATATATATATATGATATTAAACACAGAATGTTTGCCTAGGGGTGAAAGCAGATGGGCACTGGAAGGGGGGGAATGAAACTATAAAGAAATAAATCAATAAAATCAGAGTGGTTTTGGCATAGACTGATGATGCCAGGAAGTTATGAACCCAGAAATGTGATTAACTCATCCTTCTGAATTTGGGGTTGAAAAACATTTCAGGACTATATCAAATTAGAAACAATTTCCATTTTAGATATAAGGCAAATGAGATGTGGAGAGGGTCGGGGGCTCACCCGGGTCACACAGCATGTCCGTGGTATAGCTCAGAGTTGTACTGCATTCAATTGGAATAAAAATAGGCCTTTTTCTCTGGTTTGTGAGAAATGTCTCAGTAAAATATGTTGAAAGAAAGAAAAAGAAAAGATACTTTAAAATACAAAGAAGCTATCAATAATAGTCTTTTGGAAAACAAGAAAATATAAAGAAGCAAAAATTTAAGGCAAACATAAGGGAGATAGCTCAGGGGAATAAGTGCTTCCCTGGCAAGTGCAAGGGCCTGAGTTCAATTCCGCAAAAAAACCAAAAAACAAAAACCAAAAAACTGAAGAAGGAATCTGGGGGCCGGGGAGATGGCTCAGGGGAATAAGCGCTTCCCTGGCAAGCATAATGCTGCAATGCAGAAAAGTTGCATTTTGATATACTTTCAGGTTTTTTTTTTTTGCTGGATAGGTAGCTTTCCATATTTTCAAAAGTGGCATTATACTTTCAGAACATTTTGTACTTTCAGACTGTGTCCTTACTCTCCACTCAGCCTGTGGCATGTAGGCTTCGAGATTCTTGTCTTGTCTCCTCTGTGGGGTTGCCAGGGGCCTGTCTGTGGGGTCCCCTCTGAGCCCATTTGCTGAAGGAGAATCAGACACTTCCAGGGAGGGGAGGGGCCTTAGTCGTCAAGACCAACAACCACTTTGCGGTGGAGACACTGAGGTCCTGACTATGGCTCCAGGTGGTGGCGTAGACGCCACAGGATTCTTGGCTGGTTTTAGATCGTACACGTGCTGCCCCATGGAGCACCCCGACGCAAACCGGGCTGTGGTTTCGCTTGTGTTGTCAGGAGCTCCAGCTCCTTCTCTGCCTAGCAACCCACTGTGTATTGTAGTGTTTCGGGAATAACAAAAAGAAAAAGCCTGCCCATTCACTACGGATGCAAAGTTTTTTGATCCACGGACAGTTGAGTCGTCTTCCTGGGGAGACCCTGGTGGTACAGACAATTTACCGGAATTTACTTTATATCCTGGCTCAGTCATCCCGTTCTGGGGAAATGCTAATCCCATTGGCCCCGCCCAAGTCACATGATTTCTTTACTCCGCACCCCACACTGCACCTGTGAGCACCTCTTGTTTTTTTTTTTTTTTTTTTTTGGTACCAGGGATTGAACTCAGGACCTTGAGCTTGCCAGGAAAGCACTTATTCTACTGAGCTATCATTGTTCGCTTATTAATACTGTCAGCCAGCCCATGTCTGGCTAAGTCACTGTTCTCTACATAGACTGTAAATTCCTTCTGGACAGGAAACCTGTTTTCATTTTCTTGTCAGATTTGTATATTTTCATTACAAAAATGATACATGCTGAGTTAAAAATTACATATTACAAAAAATCTATAAATCATAGAGTGGAAATTCCTTCTCCACTCAAGCATGGGAGACCAGGGTTAAAAGCTTTGTTCATATCCATCTAGATTTTCAAAAAGTGGGGTCAGACTGCGTGTACTTTTCCCTGATGGCTTTCTCTGCTTAGACTATGTATAAGGTATTTCCCCACGTCACAGTATAATGTGCCGTTGTGTCCCCCCAAACTACATTACAGCCGAATGTCTGGCTGTGTACCAGTTAACACGTTCTCTCCGGCTAGTCAAGGTTGCGATTGATTTCCAATTTTTGGCTGCTACACATTGCAAGAATAAAAAGGCCCAGTTTCACTCTTTGCATGTTTGAGTGTTCGTGTGGAATAACTCCCCACGAGGAAGCGCTGGGCCAGTCCCGGAGTAAGCCCTGCCGGCTAGTGGAACTGCCTTTGGAGCTGCTTGTGCCGACTGACCCTCCGGCTGGCTGTGGGGTGTAACATCTTCCCTGCGCTGCCCAGACTCTGGCTTCCTTCAGCCTTTTCTTTCTTTTTTTAAAAAATCTGATTTGTTTTTAATTAAGTATTATGGTCACATACAAATTTGTGCTCATGTTGTACCTTCCTCACTTTAGTCCTTCTAATGAGCTGACAGGAAGCACCACTACCAATCACACATACAACAGTAAAAGTTTTAGTCTTATGTCTTTGAATAGCTGTTTAAATACTACCATGAACAGTAACTCAGTCAGACCTAAAGAAATCAAAAGTAGAACTTGCTGTTATATCATGCTGACTCTTAAAAGGATCTGAATTTACAGATCAACTATAAAATGTGAGAAATGTTAAATATTCTTTATTTGGTATTATACATACACCACACTAAAATGCCTTTCAATAAGTAAAAGGCAGCACTTTTTAG